AGGTCCGGACCTACGAAGTTCAGATTCCTCCAGGTGAGTGTTGTTTGCATCTGGTTGCTGTGTTCCACTTGTTTCTGCTGCAGCCGTTAGAGTTGAACCCTTTGTGTCTCTCTGGCAAGATGTTCTGCTCCTGAATCAGCTGGGTGGGTCTTGCTTCTAGTCTCTTTGCAGGGAGTTCTGCTGAAGGGTTCCTCGCTGGGCCTGAACTCTGGGTCGAATGAAGATCCGTGGGCCCTGGGTGGTCTCACTCACATGCCAGGCCTGAGCTCTGGGTCTATTCAGGATCAGGCGGTCCTGGGTCACTCACTTGCCAGGCCTGCGCTCTGTGTCTGTTCAGTATCCGCAGCCCCGGGCGCTCTCACTCACTCGCTGGGCCTGCTCTCTGGGTCTACTCAGGATCCAAGGGTTCCGCGGCAGTGTCACTCATTCGCTGGGCCTGCGCTCTGGGTCTATATCTCCAAGGTGGCTCTTGCTGCCATGTGTACTTTTCTATTTGTTGTCTTTTAGCTGTGAGGGGCACATAGGTGGCTGGAATTCTTTTATCTCTTTGGTAACTTCTTTAAGAATATCTTTCTGTGAGACTTCAGTGAAATTAAAAGCTCTTTTCTTATTTGAAGTTAGACTCTTAACCTAATTTTTGTCTTAATTACTCATTAGGCTCCCTTTCTCTTAATATATTGGATTTTTTTTTTTACAGGTGTCTCCAAGAGGAATATACCTTGTGATGATCTAGTTTTGAATTCCCAAAATTCAAAACAAGCCCACACTTTGAAAAGATGCTGTCATGGGCTCATGGCTCTGTAGCTTGATTGTTTAGGTCCACTTAGATTTTAAGTTTACATTTATACTTTCAAATTAAAAGGCAAGGAAGGCATGCTTGAAATTCATTAAGCAAAAGGACCTATGAGTTTGTTTATATTGTTATGAGACATTTCTCTTGCTCATTTTTCTTTCAGAGGAAAAGACATTCTATCTCCCAGTAAGAAAAATATGTTTGATTTGGTTATTTCAGACTTCAAGCAGTGGCAAAGGGTAAGACTTACTTATTTTTTCTATGGTGCTGGGGATTGAACCCAGGACTTTGTGCATGCAAGGCAGGAGCTTTACCACTGAGCCACGTCCCCAGCCCAACTTTCTGATAAACTTTCTTGGTAAGTTGATTGAAAATTTGAAACTCCTTATCTACAACTGAGTCACATCTCATCCATTTAAAATGCAATATTAAGTTTAATAAAAGACAAAATATCAAGCACACATATGCTTTAAAAGTATAAATATTTCAGTTCTGTTTCAGATTTTTGGACAAATAAAGTTAGACTACCAGAAGAAAAAAAATGGGAAGAGATATGTGGGTACTATCTAATTCTCTCATCCATTTTTCAGATACAAGTAACCATTTCTGCTGATCCTGTATCTAACTTTTGCTATAAGACAAATTAAACTTTTAAAATTGGTGACATCCCTATTGCTTGCCCGCTAGGGCCTGCTTCGGAGCCCTCCCAGCTCCAGCAAAAAGCTGCTGAGTTGCATGAGCCCTGTGCACCATTGAGTTCGTTGGCTTGATAGTAATGCTTTGTAGAGTGTGGAGTTTACTGCAGGTGGCGACCTGGAGAGGAATGATGAATGCATGAAGGATTGCACAGTGTGCTCACCAAGAGTGAAATAGAAAGAGCAGACATAACTGCCTGGATTATCACAGAGGGAAGGGGTGGAGACTGAGAAGCCTTCTTTGAATATCAGTGGGAGACTGAGTACCTGACCAGTTACACTGTGCCCTCCATTGTAACACAATTGAAGGTATCCAATTATAAGATGGAGGCAAAAAAAATCTGGTAGCCACTCCCACACAGTAGTGCAATTAAAACTGGCAGAGCACTACAGACAAAAAGAAGAAGGCTCAGCAGTCTCTTTGGGTCCACTCTGTCCCACTTGCAAATCAAACTTTCTCCATTTGTGAATGTAGGGAAATGGCCCACTGGTTGAATTCTGACTGCAGTATAAATGCTGTAGTACTGAGAATAGTCTTTTTCTTATATTTGTATGTGTGTGTGTTTCTTACTTTTCTCCTTCATCTGATACCTATCCATCTATCTATCTATCTCTATATCACATATAAGATATATGTATATCTGAGGAGAGTAAGAATTATTGCTTAAGTTTAAGTAATATATCCCATGAATATGTCAGGTTAACAGTCACCAAAGTTATATATAGAAGATTTAACCTGCATTCTCTCTGTGGTTGTTTCCTGTGATTATCTCTCATCCTTTCACTTTGAGAGAGCTCTGGAATCCCTGAAGCTGCTAGGGAGGTCTGTACTTTCTCTCTTGGCCTGTTTGCTTTCCAGTTTAACCTTCTCTCCCTGAGCATTGGCTTCATCCAAGATCAGGCATGTCAGTCCATGCCTCTGCTATTCCATGCCAAAGGGAAGCAAAACATAGAGCTGGCTTGGATCTGATTGTCTTTATGGAGCTGGGCTGCATTGTTTCTTCTGTCCCCAGGCATGAGCTGTCCAGTGGCTGTGATCCAGGCCCCACTTTTCTCTTTTTGAATTAATTGATCATAATAGTCTCAGAACTGTTATATCTGTATGTAGTACATATAATATATATGACAGCAAACATCATGTCAAAACTATCAGATAAAAGGTTTTAAAAAGTCACTGTACCAGAGAACCATGACTAAAAAATTCTTAGGGCTGGCGAGATAGCTCAGTGGACTAAGTACCTGCTTAGGCAAGCACAGGGACTGAGGTTTGATCCCCAGTACCACATGCCACACTGGCCCTGCCTCTGGGTGCCCTGAGCTTGCAGTGGAGTCCAGGCATGGTGGCTGAAATCCCAGTGCAGGGAGGCTGAAAACAGGAGGATCACTACGAGTCTGAACTGCATAGTGAGACCCTGTATAAAAAATAAAATAAAATAAACAATATTTATCTGGTAGTTTGACATATATAGATAAAATTGAAAAAATATATTGCTTATTTACTTATTAGGAATAATATTAACTCATTTATTTAGTACTCTGTTAGGATAAAATGTTTTCATACATTATTTTACCTTTTTGGGCAGCTATATGATGTAGGTCTTATGCTTTTCATCTATAAGTGATGAGTGGCAGCGTGAGAATTTGAGACTGGGTCTCTCTCACTTCAAAATTCTTATTTTTAATTCCTCTGTTCCATGCCTATCTGTACTGATTACTCTTATGGAAGAAACAATAGCAAGCCTTACATATAAATTTCCTTTATTTTCTTAGTAATATTTAATAATATTTCTTGTTTGGCCCTTGAGTTTAGACAGATAAAATATAAATCAAATAAAGATTGTACTTTCTAGGATCTATTCCTATTTAGCAGGGATAATGTAAACAGCTACATCAACCCTTACTATAATAAGAATAATAAAATATACTAAGCTCTCTAGAATTTAATTCCTTGTCAGTAAATTTTTTTACCCTTGTAAGATTTAATGTAATGATTTTCCTGCTCATAAGCTATAAATTTCTCATAGGTTAACAAATTTTATTTAAATTTAACTTAAATGTCTCACATACCACTTCTTTGGAGAAGCAATAATTTGAAGAATATTAACAAAGCTATGTTATTATTCTCTAAAATGATTGGGGGACACCGAAGAAGAAGGATCTGTATTGACTTTGATGAATTATAAGTAATCCATCCCCTTTACTCTCCAGGAACTAAATAATGAGAAAGAAAATTTTACTGGAGATATCCTAGTATCAAAATATGATACTCTCAAGATTATTAAACATTTACAGGAAAGCTGGGCAGATATTGGAACAGGAATACTTGGTCGCCACAGAAGTGTTGAAGGAAAAATGCCAGCAGAACAGCAATACTTGGTGGAAATATTAAAAAACACAGTAAAACTCTACAAAGAATATGAATTAAGAATAAATGGGGACAATGGTAAGAAAAAGCAATGATAAATGGATTGGCATTATAAAGAGTTTAAGTTTTTCAAATTAAATTTAAAATAAAAGTAATATATTCATAGTTTAAAAACTCAAGCAAAATAAAACATTGAACACATTTTAGATATAATTTAATACAGTTTATTTATTTAGAATGTATAATTCAGCACATATTCAGTCATGTGTATCCATTATCATAGTCATCTTTTGAATATTGCCACAATTTTATATGCCTCAAAAGAAACCTTGTACTTTTTAGTTCTCATTCTCTTCCCCTATCCCTACTCTAGTTCTAAGTCTCCATCCTGTCCTGATAGAATTCCAGGTTGTAGACTTCCATATGACTGAAATTATATACTTTTATCTTCTATTATTGGCTTCTTTTAATCAGTATAGTGTGTATTAGCATATATTAGTTTTTCCTTTTTAATGGCCAAAATTTCCACTTTTGCAGGAGACAGGAAAAGGAATGTTGTGGGACTGTCCTGCTACAAGGTTATATATGGTTAGATTTCTGGACTTATGTGTAAACACAAGAATTATATAATTCTTTATGCCTATTTTTAAAATGTATTCTAATTTTTAAATGTTTTTGCATCATATTCTATAGGGACTTAAAGTTCAACATATCAATACTTGATGAAAAATACCTGTTCCGTGCTATGCCTAAGATGTTTGATATTCAGACAGATAGTGAGGTTAAGGTTAACAGCCTAGGTTGTATGGTAATAACAATAAACTTCTTTTCTGGTGGGTTAACAACCTAAGTTTGCAGACCAAAATTAGAGAAAAAGGAGGGCCGCATGGAAAGCCAACATTTTGGCCCTAGCCTTCCAAGGTCGATTAAGACTCAGGACATATGAGATATTGTACTGTAACATCATGTAACTCAGTAGTGTCCCAAATTTTCTGATTAAGGAGATTATGGGGCCAAAGAGGAAAGTGATCGATGATGTAGAGTGTACCTAAGGAGAGTCACATGAAGAGAAAACATTCTCTCAGGCTTTCACAGAGAGCACATTGGCCAAGCAATGGCCATGACTCATCCACATGGCTGACACTGACAAAGGTTCTGCAATCTGAGGTACAGGATCTCAGGATAAATCCTGAGTGGATTTCACTGACTTATCAGACCCAAAAGCTACAACTCTTATTGTATAGGTCTTGCTTTACCTTGGTCTTAACCGTCCAGCAGAAAAGCATAAAAATGAAGTATAAGAAGTAAGGCCATGCTGTTATGTTGAGCTGTAGGGGACTCAGATCAACAATTTCTGACATTGCCAGTGAAGTGGAAGACCCAATACTATTATGAACTACTGGACTCTTTTAGAATATTTTGCTGAGTTAACACACCTATGATATTCAAATGACAGAACTAAACCAAAAAGGGGATACAGATGAATGTTCATTTTGTATCTGTGTATTCAAAATGGTTAGGGTAGATTAATAGTTACATTCTCTTAATGAATAGAGGGATTTGTGTTTGTGTATAGGATACCATGTCCCCATCTTGTATAGCAAATAACCACTAGGAATAATGTACGCAATGTGTTAATTATTGAATCTATCCTACCAATTTGGTTTGAAACTGTCTCATTGCTATTTGTTTCTCAATAAAATTATGGGGAAAAAATTTCCACTTTATATTTTTTCACTTTATATATGTTTATACAACTTTATCATTTCATCTGTTGATAAATATTTGAGTTTTCTCCCCTTTTTAGTATTATAAATAATACTTCTACAAATATTTGTACAAGTTTCTGAGAAGGCATATATTTTCATTTCACTTGGGTATATAGCATGTAGTAGAAGCTCTGGTCATTTGGTAACTCTACATTTAACTTTTGAGGACTTCCACACTGTTTTTAAAGGTGCTATATCATTTTATAATCCCACTAGCAGAGATGAGGGTTCTAATATTTATATATCCTAACCAACAGTTGTGTTTAGCTTATTTTTTGATTCGCATCATAACAGGTGATATTATGAAATAGCATTTTATTGTAGTTTTGTGTTTTCCTAATGATGATGTCGAGCATCTTTTAAAGGTTTATTAATCATCTGTATGTCTCTTTGAGGAAATATCTTTTCATATCTTCTGCCTAGGTTTTATATTCTCTTTTACTGAGTTATAAGAATTCTTAATATGATCTGGATTCTAGTCCTTTTCCAGATACTGTATATGAATTGCGAATATTTTCTCTCATTCTTTTTTTTTCTTTTTGGGCTGGCTCAGCTGGCCCTGAGGGCAGGGCTGGCACAGCATGTGATGCTGGGGATCAAATGGCAGTCCCCTGCAGCTGCCTAACCTTGCCTAAGCAGGCAGTTTAGACCACTGACTTAGCTTGCTGGCCCTTTTCTCTCATTCTGTGTGTTACTTTTTTATTTATTTATTTATTTATTTAGGAACTGGGGATTGAACTCAGACACTTGGGCATGCCAGGCAAGTGCTTATTCTACTGAGCCATCTCCCCGGCCCCAATTTATTTATTTTTTTGACAGTATCCTTCTATTGACAGTACTTTTGCTGCCATTTCTAAAAATCTTTAGCAAAGCCATGAAGACATTGTCTATTCTGTTATGAGGTTTGTTTTCAAAATCATTAATAATGTTTTTATAACTTTTATTTCTATAGAATTGATAGCACTGTCCCCTTTTTAATTTCTGGTTCTGGTAGCTTGAGTCATTTTTTGTTTGTTAAATTAGGTAAAGGCTTATCAATTCTAATATTTTCAAAGAACCAAATTTTGATATTACTAATTTTCTATATTGTGTCTTTCATTATTTTATTTAATTTCCTTATAGCCCTATTATTTCTTTCCTTCTGGTTACTTTAGTTTGCTCCTCTTTTTCTAGTATCACAAAATGACAGGTTATATTATTGATCTGAGATTGTTCTTTTTTCTTAACTTAGGCATTTAGAGCTATACATTCTCCTTTCAGCACTGCTTTGTTGTATCCTGAAAGTGTTGATGTGTTGTATATTCACTATATTGCATCTCAAAGATTTTATGAGTTCCTTTTTTAGTAATTTATCATTTAATGTTTATATATTTTTGCTTTCCAAATATTTATGGTATTGATTTTAAACTTTATTCTATTATGGCTTGGGGATAGACATTAGTTCTGTTCTCCTGAATACATTGAGTTTTAAAAAAAAATTATTAACATCTTGTCTTCCTGGAGTCTGTTCCTTGTGTATTTCATATAAATGCATTTTTGTTGGGTAGATTGTTTTGTTTTGCAAGTAACTGTCTGGTCTGGTTGTCTTATATTTTTCAAATCTTGTATTTCCTCACTGATCTAGGTATTAGAACCACCATTTATTATTTTTGAATTTTTAGTTCTTTCATTTCTCTTAGTTTTTGCTTTGTATATTATGGTGCTGTATGTGCTTTATATAATATGGTGCATATATGTTTGTAATTGTTACAGCTTTTTGATTCACTGATTGGTATTTATAATAGCCTAAAATATTTCTATTTCTAGTAACATTTTTAGTTTTAATATATATTTTGTCTGATATTATTATGGCCACTGTGGCTAGCTAGGAAGGCTCTAAATCTTAATCTTAAATAGAAGTGAATTAAATACTGTAATCAAATGGCAGAAATTGTCAAACTGATTTAAAAAAAAATGATTCAACTCCTTCCTCCCTCAAACAGAGCTGCCAAGAAGACTGCTTGGGTCGGTAGATTCTCACAAAGTACATAGAGCCAGAGACACCAATGCTAGCAAACCATTATCTTACTCAGTACCCAAATATGTACACTGCAGAGAAACTATGATTTTAATGAAAGTGGAATAGTTTTTGTCTAGAGCTTGTATCTTATTCAACATAAGAAAACTTGTGCTGGAGAGAAACCGTATGAATGTGATAAAGGTGGTAGAGTATTTAGGAATCATTCAGCTCTTACCAAACATGAAGAGACTTACATTGTAAAAAAAAGGCTCTGAATGTAACAAATGTGGGTAAGCCTTCAGCTGGAATTCTCATCTGATGGTACACAAGAGAATTCATACAAGAGAAAAGCCTTGTGTGTGCAATGAGTGTGTAAAGTCCTTTAACTAGAGTCACCATTTCATTGGACACTAGAGGACTCATACTGGAGAGAAACTATTTAAATGTAGGGAATATGTGAAGTTATCCAATTGGAGCTCCCATCTCATTGCTCACATGAGAATGCACATGAGAGAGAAACCCTTTCAATGTGAGAAATGTGAAAAGGCTTTTTGGGATTACTCCATTCTTAGTAAACATGAACAGACTAATCCTGGAGCAAAATCCATGTATGGCATGTGGAACATCCTTCAGCTGGAGCTCCCATCTCATTTTCTACCAGAGAACTCACACAGGAAAAAAAACCTTAAAACTGCCAAGAATGTGACAAACCATTCAGGGAACACTGAGCCCTCACAAAAGATGAAAGTATTGATTCTGGAACTAAGCCCTATGAATGTAATAAATGTGAAAAGTCTTATAGCCAGATGGCTCACCTTGCTAAACATCAAAGGACTCATACTGAAGAGAAATCCTATAAATGCAATAAATGTGAAAATTCTTCAGTCAGAGCTGTTAACTAATTGCTCATTCAAGAATCCATGCCAGCAAGAAACCACATCAATGTAATCAGGGTGAAAGATCCTTTAACAGTAGTTCTAACCTTATTACACATCAGAGAACTCATACTAGAGAGAAACCATATAGATATAATGAATGTGGGAAAGCATTTAATGAGAGTCCTTCCCTTATTGTGCACCTGAGAAAGCATAATTGAGAAAATCCCTACAGATTTAATCATTATGAGAAGGCTTTCTGTAAGAATTCATCCCTTCTTATTCATCAGAGAATGCAGAGTGGACAGAAGCACTTCACATGCAGTGACTGTGAAAGAGCTTTCAGTGATCACTTGGCTCTGCTTCAGCACCAGAGGAATCACTGAAGGGAAACTGCCTATGAACTGATCATAGTTTTCTTTTATTTGTACATTTGATAACACATTGAAAATACCTTATGATTAGGGCTGGCCAGATAGCCCAGTGGGCTAAAGAGCCTGCTTAGGCAGAGCGCAGCAGCCAGGGTTCAATTCCTGGTGTGCTGTGCTGCCCCACCCCTGGGGCACACCGAGATGGTGATTGAGACTGGGCATGGTGACAAGTACCTGTAATCCCAGCACTTGGGAGGCTGAAAACAGGAGAATCACTACAATTCCGATCTATGTAGTGATACCCCGTAGACCCTGTAGTACTAAAAGAAAAGACCATATGATTATAAAGAAGAGGGAAAATTTTAAATCTTTAGTAAGACTTTCCTCTATATGATTCAATATGAAACTTAAGAGTGAAATAAGTAGGTAAAAGTTTACAGCAGTTTTATTGCCCTCATTCAACATTGGATAATTAGAAAACTAAACACCCACTGTGGCCTCTAGGAATCCCTGCCTAAGCAACATGAATCAGGAGTGAGGTGACTTTCAGCACACACTTTTACTGATTTTATAGGCAGATCAGTGTATTTCACTAAGGCAGAACTTTATGCCAAGAATGAAAATAGCATTTCATCAGGCCAGAGTACTGGATGGAGACATTCACATTTTATACATAATTTTAGAAAAGCAGATAGATTTTACTGTTTTAAGAAGATCTAGGTGTTGAAATAAAGAACACTAAATTCAAATTTAAGAAAGAAAGGTATAGTGTTGAATGGGGTATTCACTCCTGACCAAGAATAACCTCCTTAGGAAATAGTGAAATTACTAAAGGTGGAAATGTTGTCTGTAGAAATCTGAGGCTGATGTTATTGGCACAGAATCACCCAAAGTGCCGTTGTCTTTTGTGTGCTCATTACTGCATTGTTGAACAGTTAGTCTAACTTCTTTTAGGTGATCACAGGACACTGCATCAGTATACATAACATGAATAAAAGACAGAATTGTGTGCTCAGATCTACTATAGCAGATCTAGAAAGTGTATAGGGATAATGATTTGATTGATTTATGGAGAAATTAACCCAGTTAATTTGAGATTTTATTTTGTTTTATTAACTTACCATGTGCTAAGCTTTGTTTTGATTGCTTTTCAAATAGTAGTTTGTTCAATCCCTTTAACTGTATGAGGTAATTACCATTATCATCTCAGGTTTATGAATGGGGAGACTGAAGTTGCAAAAGTGTGGTATCTTCCCCAAGAATACTTCTAATCAGCAGTAGAACTGAGACTATGAAGTTCCATAGGCCCTGTTGTTAAGCACTTTCATCCTCACTCTTCAGTGATAAATTTTCCAAATGTTTTTCCCTTTTGTGTTGTTTGTATAATAGAGATTTGATAATAAAATTCAAGAAAATCTTTAAAAACAATAAAAGAAAATGACCATACTCATATTTGATACTTATGCATTGGATTATATTTTGAATGAATAGAGAAGAAAAGAACTGATATGATAAAAGAAATAAATGGTCAGGATAACTGTTCAAGGGAAGTGTGAGAAATAAAGAGTTTATATTATTGTTCAGCACATCTCCAGGACATTTTCATCTTGCAAATGTAAAACTCAATACCCATTAAGCAACTCATTTTTTCTTATCTCTAGTTCCAGGAAACCACCACTCCAATTTATCTTTGCATGAATTTAATTGCCTAGCTATCTTAAGATACAGTGGAAAATATATCAGGATAAATGGAATCATACTGTTTTTTGTTTTTTTGTTTTTTGTTTTTTTTTTTTTTTTTCAGAACTGGGGATTGAACTCAGGTCCTTGCGCTTGCCAGGAAAGCACTTTTTCCACTGAGCCATCTCCCCAGCCCTCATACTGTTTTTTTTATAGTGGCCTATTTCACTTAGCAAAAGTACTTCAGGTTCATTCATGTTACAAAATACAGGATGAGGACCTCTTCTAAGGATGAATAATACTCCATTATATGTGTCTTACCATACCCTACTTATGCATTTATTGATGAGTGGACACTAAGTTTGCCTCCACCTCCTAGCTATTATGAGCAATGTCACTAAAAATGTGAGTGCATGGATATCGCTTTCCATGCTTTTGGGTATATATCCAGATGTGGGATGTTGGGTTATGTGACAATTCTGGCTCCACCCCCGGGGTGTGCTAAAATGGCAATTGAGACTGGGCATAGTGGTGTGCACCTGTATTCCCAGCACTTTGGAGGCTGAACATAGGCAGATCACTACAAGTCCAATCTATGTAGTGAGACCCACCAAATCCTGTAGACCCTATACTAAATTTTAAAAAAATCTAAAATCGAACTTTATTATAAACTAGAAACTTTAAAATTTATAAAAGCTTACCAATGACCTCAGATAACTTGATAATCATATTTATTCTAGTTTCTGTTATTAACTATTCCATAATCACTTAGAAGCTACTTATCATCATTATCTTTGCAGAGTAGTTTATTAAATTAATTCCATTTACCAAAAACTATAATGATAGTTTCTATCATTATGTATTAATGTATTTTTATTGTCAACTGAGAAAATAAGAAATTTGGAATGTAAACTCATGAAATAGCTAGTCTATTAGTCATTAAAAACATAAATTGTATAGGATATTTTTTACTAGGCATATATTAAGAACTATTGTTTTCAAGGTTCTTAGACAAGCTGTAGAATAACAATAAAAGGTTAAAGAAAATCATTGCCCAATTGGATAATTTAGGATTACATACATAATCTAACAAATATTCCTAATGCCTTTCTCATTTTTCTAGGTGTGTCTAAAATTATTGCAAATTTGATTGGTTCCTTTGACTTCTGTTCTTTCAAGTTGGAAAACTCCCTGGAAAAATCTGAGAAGTATTTTGAAGAATGGGATGGAGTTAATGAAAAAATCAATGAAATGAAAACTCAGTTGGACTCATTGTTAACCATGCTGGGCTCTGCTTCAGAGTTCACTGACGTGGATTCTGCCTCGTAAGTTTCTATAACTATCTTTCTTTTGGGATAATGTATTTTAATGCTTTATTGCAAGAAAATTCACATGCCATACATACAGTTTACTCCTTTAAAGTATACAATTAGTGTATTTGCAGAGATGGGCAAGTGAAGTCAATTTTAAATCATTATATCACCATCAAAGGAGGTTTCGTAGACAGATGTGGTATCACATACCAGTGTTTTGTGAGTGTCTCTGAGGTAAGAGAATTGCAATTTTGAGGCCAGCCTGGATAGTGAAGCAAGACCTTTTCTAATAAATAAATAAATAAATAAATAAATAAATAACAAGGGCTAGGTATGTAGCTCAGTGTTCCCTGGGCTCATTTCCAAGGACATCAAAAAGAAAGGTGTTAGGGAGGGAGGAGTAGGCATAGTTGGAGAAGAAAGAGGAAGGAGAAGAAAAAAGAAGACTGAGATGGTTTATATTATTAGCTATTACTCTTTATATTAGTAATATTTTTAGTACTGTTGCGAAACAGCAGGAGGTGGGTGGGTTATAAAAAAAAGAGAGCCAGTTTAGCTCACATTGTGGAGGTGGAAAGTCTAAATGGCATAGTATCCTCTGGCAAATGCTCATCATGATATGCAAATACAGCGAACAAGAGACTGAGATCATATGGCAAGACAGGAAGATGGATGCTTTTTCCCTTTAAAGTTGTTTATTTTTCTTAGTAAATTTTTGTACATGTAATTAATACCTAATTATTATATTCATTGTAAAGCCTTGATATATATAGGCATCATACAGCTTAAATCTTTTTTATGCCTTTCCTCTCTACTCCTTCCCCAGTTATTCTATCTCCTAGCTCCTTACCTTTTGCAGAGAAATATATCTCCCTGCTTCTTATGACCTATTTTTTTATCTTATTCTTTACTTATACTTCAAATTTCTTTAATAAGAGAAATCATGCCATATTTATGCTTGTGTGTCTGATTCATTTCACTTAACAGAAATTTTTTTTGGTGGAACTGGAGATGAAACTCAGGCCCTTGTGCTTGCCAGGTCTCAAAGTACATACATTTTCCAACAAATGGCTCAAGTTTATGTTTCTTTATGGCAGAGTAGTACTCCATTATGTGTATTTACCAATTTTTTAATCCATTGACCTGTTGATGTATATATAGGCTGCTTGTAAGACTTGACTATTGGGCTGGGGAGATGGCTCAGTGGAATAAGCACTTCCCTGGCAAGCGCAAGGGCCTGAGTTCAATCTCAGGTTCCACCAAACAACAACAAAAAAGATTTGACTATTATGAATTCTGCTGCAATAAGCATGTATATGCATGTATCACTATAATGTGAGGATGATGTCAGCTCTTTTGGGAATATGGCTAAAGGAGAAGTAACTGGAGCAAATGGAATTCCTATTTTTATTTTTTTGAGGAATCTCCATACTAACTTTCTGTAGCAGTTCTAGCTTACTTCTCAACAATATATAAGGGTTCCCATTTCCCACATCCTTGCTAACATTTGGCATTGTTTTATTCCTTGCTGATAGTCATTCATTCTGGAGCAAGATACAGTCTAAAT